CGAAGTAAATGATCATTGATGTGGCCGCACGATTGATCGGGAGACACGATTTGGAGAGAGCCAAGAAGTAGATTAGATTAGAATATTTAGTGGTAAACTTAAAAGAAGTTAGTTTTTTTTTTTCTTCTTCTTTTGTTTTTTTTTTCTTAAAGGAGATCAATACTGCTTCCCCAATTCTCTTTCGGGTGACTTGAACTCGAGACATGGTACACGCCGAGCGAAAGTACGCACCACTGCGCTAACCCCTCTTCGTCAAGTTAGTTAGTTTACTTTGTCAGGATTGATTTACCTATTGCCTTTCAAAATTTTGAGTTGACAATATCTACACTGTTGATTTTAATAATGTTATAATCATCATCGAACAATTAAATGTGTATTTCTCCTTCACTCAATCTGTAAATCATTTTGACGGTGTAGCGTGAGTTGGACTAAAAAAGGCAAAAACTAACGTTTGCAAGACTCAAAAAAAGGCAAAAGCTACTCGGTCCGACCTGTTGGACCCGTCGCGGGTCCATGGATAAGTGTGTGGGCTAGGTTTGGATTCGAACTACTCAGCCCGACTTGGCCATTGTCATCTCTATCTGAAATATTCATGACTAAAATTGTAATTCGCTCAAAAGAAAATTTGGGGTATACTTGATACAATTTTAAGACCAACTAAATTGACATCATAGTCCAAACTTGTGAGCATTTTTCTTCTATTTGACACCCTACTCAAATTAATTCGTGGGCTGGTAAATTTCAGAGAAGCAAACGAAAGCTGAAGGAAACCTTTGATACTCATCGTGTTTGCAAAACCCTAAGCCCTAAGATTGAAGAGCGACAAAATGGCGCTCTACAGAGCTCGCATTTGTTCCTCTCCTCTGCTCCGCTCAATTCTTCGCGTCCCCACTCGCTCTCTCTCATCCGGTAATTCCTATTTCCCCGTGTGCGTGTGCGTGTGCGTGTGCGTGTGCGTGTGCGTGTAACTTTATGCTATCTCGTACTATTCCTTTCGCTGCATTGTAAACTCGCGTAGTCAATTCGTTTATTGGGAGTTTGAAGATGTTGGTTGAGAAATGTGATTCTTCCCTCTTTTTGCTTATTGTTTCCCAATGCTACTGCAATTTCTTGATTTTCAGGTTCTGTTATTAATATGGGTGAGTCTGATCATGGGTCGTCATGGAAATCATCCATGATGAATCAGATGTTCACACTCGACATAAGCTCTCAAATTGGGAGTTGTATGCCTCTGGCGAATATGAGGATCGGGACCCAGATCCACAACATCGAGCTTCGACCGGGACAGGGTGGGAAGCTCGTACGTGCTGCAGGGACATCGGCGAAGATACTTACCGAGCCCAATAGGTCTACCAGGTATATACGAATTACTAACTTGGATTTAGGCTAATTTATAAAATACATATGCTTGCTTGTGACACATAGGATAAGTCATAACAAGTATATGAATCATTCGTCATTATTACTAATAGTATGGCGTGGCTTTGAAACAAACGGAATTCGATTTGTCTGTTTTTTTTCTTAATTATTTCTTGTTTTCTTTCATTAGTGGAGTAAAGTAAATTTTACTGAGCACACGCACACACACACACGAAAATTTTTTTAGGTTCTTATAAAATGTTGTGAATGTGAATGGACCCAATCATGGAAAACAATGAACAATGGGTTATGCCTAGCTGTTAGTATTGACCATGTATTTGTATCATGGAATATCGGGGATACTTGGTCGATGTCATGTTATAATGTGAGTACCTGTGTTTAAGGGAGGCATATATCGCATCAAGGACTTTAGAATGGTTGAAATTTTTGTAATTTATAAAACCGCCAAACTTTGGCCTAGCTTTTAGGTTGAATTAGCTATTTGTAGTTGACTGCAGTTAACATGTGTGGTTGTTACGAAATTTTAGAGGAGATGTTGGTTATGATGTTATAAGATGGGGGTGCACCATTGAGTTGTCTTCACTGTATATCTCGCTTCATTGTTTATGGGTTAATTTACATAGACTTTGAAGATTACACAATATGGTGTGCCTGAGACATACTTGTGGAAAACCATTTCTCTAAGAACTAGGCTAGAAATTACATGGGATTTAACATAGATTCGGAAATGAGATTTTGATGCTTTGACATTGATTCAAATCTACTGGATGTCAAATTTAGCAACTGCAATTGACAATTTGAATTTCTAAATATTTTCAAAAATGACTTCCGTGTATCTATTTAGCTTTATGTTTTGCAAGAATATCACATTTCAGGATGGGCTATGTCCAAGATAAGATGTGTTTAGTCCTGTAAATTCAGAACGAAAAGAAGGCAGTAATGGACAGGGAAGCATAATATTAAGTTGATCTGCAACAATATGTCATTGCCATTGTTCTTTTGCATTTTCTTGTTGGTATAACATCACATGCATGGACAACTTAAACTTGAGTTCATGGAAAGTTATTGCAGGTCAAGGCTACTAGTAGTCCTTTCACTGCTCCTTGGACATTGCATTTGAGGTTTGCTGCATGCTGTTTAATATTTACTTGTAATTATTCCAAATGTTAAAAAAGGTCATACCTTTTAAATGAAATGCATTGAAATAAATGAGTGCAAAGAATCACCTTAATTACTTTCTGTCCCCGCATTTACTTTTTGGTTCAGATATATGATTATTTTTTAGTTTTTCTCCATCTTGTAATCATTTCTAGGTACTGCGAGATAAAGCTGCCATCTGGGGTCAAGAAACTGATAGACACCAGGTGTCGAGCAACAATCGGGATGGTATCCAATCCGGAACATGGAACTAAGAAGCTAAGAAAGGCTGGGCAAAGCAGATGGTTGGGAAGGAGGCCGGTTGTGAGAGGTGTGGCTATGAACCCAGTTGATCATCCCCATGGTGGTGGTGAAGGAAGGAGTAAGAGTAGTGGTAGTCATGGCCGAGTCTCACTCACGCCTTGGGGAAAGCCAACCAAGTGCGGGTACAAAACTGCTCGCCCTAAGAGAAAGATTTAAGTTGTATTCTCTTGAAGAAAAAGGGGTTTTCTGCCTTCTTGCTGACTATTTTTTTAATGAATTTTGATGTTGTGTTTTCTTTATCTTGGTTTCAAGCAAATGGAAGGAAAATATTGTGCTGTTGTTGGTTTGAGGTGTAATATTGTTCTGAAAAGTGAAAATAGAGAATCGGTTGTGTGTTGGCTTTAGGTTCGGATGTCCTCCTATTTACGAAAGGTGGAAGTTTTATTTTTATTTTTGTTTTTGTTTTTGCATTGTGGGAATTATCATGCTAATGTACAAGTGAACTGCTTGTTTACGTGAGTAGCTTTCATTTCGTTCTCAACTTGGAGTTTTGCAACTAAGTGTTGAAACATGTTATAAATTTCTTTTCGTAAAAAACCGTATGAACTAGGGGCATTATGCACACTCTTGTGATTTGCAACTCAAGTGTAAAATAGCTAGTTTTAAAATGATTTGGTATTCATGCTCCAGTCGTATTTACGGTATGGGAAACTGATGGCAAAATCAATTAAATGTTGGCAGTTTACAACTTAGTAGAACCTGTATTCAAAGTTGAGAAGCCATAAGATTTGGGGTATATTTGATATAATTTTATGATTAACTAGATTGACATCCTCCCTTCTCTCCGTCTCTCAGACTCTGATTTGGTGGATGAGGTTTGGTCGATGGTACGGCGATTTGGGCTTGGTAAGGTGGTTGGATTTGGGGCTTTGTTGGTGTGTGCTTGGACGGGTGGCTGGATGTGGGAGAGGATGTTTGGTTGTGTGGTTGTTTTGGTTGATCTTACTGGCCTCCGGTCCCAGCTCCAGGGGCGGACCGCCTAGGAAAAGATTTTGGTCGTCTGGTGTGGTTCTAGTTGTGATTGCATTGGAGTTTCTGGGGCAGTGCTCGAGCCGGAGTCCTATCCAAGTGGGCGGTTGTCTCTGGGTGTGGAGTCGCGGTTTGTTGCGGATTGTCTCGCCTGTGGAGAGGAGGGCGCTATTCTAACTATTATGCATTGGTGTTGTTTTGTAATAGTGTTTTGTGTTGTTTGTTAGTGTGTGGTTTGTGTTGTGGTGTAGTGGTGTTTTCTGTCTTTTGCGTCTTTTGATGTTATTCTCCTAAGTAGGAGCTGGATTATCCTTTGTGGAATTTGTTTAGTTTAGTTTGTTATTTTGTGTCTTGTGGCTGAGTTAGAGTAGTATCTAGACGTCCGTCGTAGGGTTGTTTCCCTAGTTTCAGCTAAATGGCTACTTGGCTTATAAAACATAGGAGTACTTCCCACATCATCAGGCCATCTGGATGTGCTCTACATTAACAACCTTGGGGACACCAAAAATGGGACCACACACGAACCCCAGAAATCGAACTCATCACACCTCCAATCAATAGATATTTCAGATCAAAATAAAGGGCACAGACAGTTAACAAAACAAGATACAGCCGAGAATATTGAAAATATGTTCAGCCTACATGCTGCTTTATTTTAACCCACGAATGTGCCCAAAAAAAAAAAAAAAAAAAGACGTACAACGAAAACTCCATAATCTGGCAATCCCCCGTCACAGTCAACACTCTGACATCCAAAATGGACTCAAAATACTCAGCACCCCCATCCTTCAGCTGTAAATCTACATAGTATCCTCCATGAAGTTACCTGCGAGATCCCAATAATGACCAACACCGTGATCAGAAAAGTATTTACGGGCAGCCGCCTCTGTCCTGCACTCCTGGACGAAAAATCTATTGAAATTCCGTTTGGCCACACTCCCCTGCCACACGAGAACACACTTATTCAAAGGTTTCTCATCATCATCATCGTCGTCGTCGTCATTTTCATCCTCATCCTTCTTAACAGCAGAAGCCCAATCAATCCTTCGGAGCATAAGCTTCCCGTACCTCTTTATCGATTTGGCCCCACCTTCAACAACCACCACGCTAATCCCTTGGGAAATCATCGCACATCCGGTCAGCCTGTTCTCCTGGGCATTGATATCAACCTTGAAACGTGTCTGGGGGTGAGTGAGGTCATTCACCTTGTAAACAGAGACGATCGTTTCTAATACAGCATTTGAGTCGTCAAACAACTTTCTCTCCTTCTTTTCACGGCGCTCGCCTGGAGTCAGCTTGCGGGCCACGTTCCTGTCGATGTGGGCCTGCTCGCGTTCGGCTGCAGCGCTCCTTATCTCCATCTCGAGCCGGGTGGGGTCCTGAGTGGCCTCAGAGCCGAGGACTTTCATGAGGTTGCTCATCTTGACTTTGGGCTTCGGGGGCTCAAGCACGCCTAGCCTGATCATCTCCTGTCGTTCTTTCTCCCTGGCCAGCCTACGCTGAGTGCGAAGTTTCTTCTGCTCCTTTTTGGTTAGCTTCAGGGGTTGCGGTGGAGGGGGTGCTGCCTCGGCAGGGGGCTCGATCGGCCGAGGATGTTCAACGTAGATCGTGATCTTGTCCATCTTGATATTTTCGCTGTCTATGTCACCATCGACCACGTCCCCATAAGTGCCAGAATGTAGAAAAGTCACATCCCTGCACAGTCATGAAAATAGATGATTGTACTGACATGAAAAGTCACCGTTGGAAAAGAGAACTTTAAAGTGATGTGGTATTGAACAATTTGACTTCTTGTGAAAGCTAAAACGCCAAAATGATACCAACGGAAGAGAAATTAACTTAGCAGTTAAGCTATTTGTGTGACCGAGTTTCTGATAAAAGTTCATATGCTTTCATCTAATCGATGCGTTGTCTATAGATCATCAAAAGATGATGAAAATGCTAACTGCTAACTTTAGACTTAGTTATTTAAACAAGTTGAAATGAATAGTTTACTTACCACCACTCCACATCAGGAAAAGGTTCCTGTTGTTTTTCTTTGGTAATCACCCTCTCTCCTACTTCAATCAGATTTGGGTTTATATCAGGTTCAGCCTTGGCCTTGGCCAGCTGCGCTTGTTTTGCCTTTAGCTCTTTTGCTTTGGCCTCCCCAAATTGAGACTTTCACAGACAAAGTTTATAAGCATTAGTGCAGGGGTAAAGTAAGCATGTACAAAAGTCATCTACGAGAACTGAGATAATTACCTTCAATTTAATAATTTCAGCCTCTTTCGACCACTTGCCTTCCTCAACAAACTGAAAAGTCATCTTCTTAGGCCTCAACAGTTTACTTTTATCAATTCCCATCCTAGAATCGAAATGAGGATTTTTATCGGGATCCACATCAAGTTCAGGCTTGAGAATTTGAAAGGCTTCTTTCTTTTGCTTGTTGATATTCACCTATGGGATAACCCACAATCAAGTCAGTATGTGATACATCATATACAAGCTACTAGTCATTTTCTTTATCAGCAACTCATACAAAACAAATCAGGTAGTTTTGATATACCTTGAGAGTACTCAAGCTGTTTACTTTTGGAACATTCACCACATTGCCGTGCTCATCCACTTCCCTGCCCAATGCATCCAGACGAAGAACAGGTGCTTTCGAAGGCTTTGGTTGGATGGTGACCTCTGGGGGCATTTGACCTGGAAACATATTAATGAGAGGAGCAAACTCCGGGTCTTGTCTAAATCCCATCTTGGCAGCTAGCTCCTGTGCACGTTTTACAGCTTCATATTTTTGTGGAGTGAGTCCAGGGAGATTAGGCAAACCACTCTGTGAAGGAGTTATTGTACTTGACGTGCCAATTGGTAAAGTTGAAGCACTTGAAGCAACTGCAGAAGGAACCACTGAAGTCGGCAATATACCTTTATTGGATGAAGCAAATGTAGCAGCCTCTTTTTCACCCACCATTGAACTACCACCGCCAGTTGAGGGTGAATCTCTGTTCAACTACAAAAGAAGAAAGGAGAGGAAGTTCTAAAGGAACAAAGTCACGTAAATAAAAATAAAACTTGCATGCGGTTCTCTCTTGATTGGGAATTTAGAATCAACGGAATGCTGGAAATAATATATTAAATGCTTGATGAAAAATAATTGAGACAGACATGCAATACACTTACTGCAGGAATCTTCTTCATTCTTAGTGCAAGCTCCTTCTGCATTTGTAAGGCTCTCTTAGCTTTCGCTAAAGCATCAAGGGACAAACCCCCACTCTTTCCGACATCAGAAGCTGACCCATCTGTACTGGATTTCCCAGGAACCTCATAAGATCTGTTAATAATAACTCCCTTATTTTCATTTGTCTTGGTAATTGAATATACCTTAGTAGTAGGAGAAAAGCTTCGATCTGGAGAAGTCTCAAATGAAGTGTACGTTGTGATTGGCCCAGTTGCAGCACCCTGCAAGCAGAGTACAGCCATATATGTCAGAACCCAGTAAATTATACACTATATCGTGACACAGTTTCAAAGTTAGTGATGTAGCTTCTACAGCATGTAAATAAACCTATAAACTTTAAGTGATGGAATAAATCTTTTACACTACTTACCAAATATAAAAGTATTGTACAAACAAAATACATAGTGGTATGGCCAAACAACTGCACTCAGAAAGACTGATTATAGAGGGAAAGGAAACATAAAATTATAACATGGCAAGGAATTCTATGTAATGCATGAACCAATGAGTATGCACTTCTGGCCACGTTTTATACATCAATATGCAAAAGCACATGGCTGCCATTGTACTGATATTTCAAGCTGACTGCAACTCACAAAGTCAAGTTAATTTCTGATTATATATCAATGTTATCAAAACCGGACCGGACCGGCCGGTTCGACCGGTTGGACCGGGAACCAGACCTAGTACCGGTCCGGTTTGCATGTTTGGGCCGCTGGGAGCAAGAACCGGTATCGAACCGGTTCAAAACCGGTAAAACCGGTGAACCGGTACCGGTTCGACCGGTCGAACCGGTTCTGAAATTTAAAAAAAAAAAATCTTGATGAAATAAAAAAAATAATAAAAAAAAAAAGAAGAGTGAGATAGTATTTTGTAATTTGGTGAATTGAAATGTTGGATTGGATATATTTTGATGTTTGATGACTTTATAGTTTGTATTTGTAATTTAGATTGCCTTGCTTTAGATATTGAATTATTATTCTATTGTTTTAGTGAAGTTTATTTAGTATTGTTTATGGTAAATTATACTTGAAATATTGATTTATCAACTCTTATTAAGAAAAATGTCATTATATGCGCTATAAAATTAATGATAAATATATATATAATTATATATTATACATATAAAATAAATAAATAAATTATATATTAGTTAAACCGATTCGACCGGTTCGACCACTGGTCCGACCAGTGAACCATTGAACCAGTAGCTTCACCGGTTCAATGACCGGTCCGGTTTTGAGAACAATGTTATATATATATATATATATATATATATATATATATATATTTCATGCTCAGGAGAAGCCACATAAAATTCTTGCACCATTTTTACAATTAAAAATGAAAATTTAACCTTTTACTGAAATCAGAGACTTCCATAACATGTACATGATGGATTTTGGAAAGCCTAACATCACAGAGTCCATTTCTACTTCTCCAATGATAAACATCAAACAATTCTAACTAGGTGGCAATCGCTACAAATAATACAAGATCTACTTAATTTTCCTTATTTCTATATTCAGCATGGTCTTCCTAAAATAAAGGTGGAGAATTGGTGTATAATACAAATCTTGAGAAAAAAAAAACTATCATTCTGGAATAATAAAATAAATATGAGGAATAACCTCACAACTATCTGTCACTTTTGATTATTAAGCAGAACACTCAAACACCAGTAGGACAAGCATCGATCAACAAGTGATATATCACATATTAGCCAACTATAGCACGACAAACAAGATATAGATGACTAACAATACAACCAGAAAAACTACAGCCAATGCCAAGAGAATAAAATAAAATCAATTCTATCATTCTTAGCATTGAGAATCCAACACCTCTCTTCCAATCCTATATGAAATGAATCACAAATGCACAAAACAGATCAAAACGAATTCCATGTGAAATATGAAATTTGAGTCACTGCAGAATCATCAACCCAACAATAGAAAATAATCAAAGTTCTAGCTGCCAATGGTATCTGCTGAGGCTGTAACTTATCCAACAAAACAGAAGTAGCGAATGAAGCACAAAGAGCACTCACATTGGCAACAGAACCGAGCTCGCCACGATTCCCACTGTTATTGTGCTCATCATTTACATCTTTCTTTGCAGAGTTCCCACCATATCCCGAGCCCTCACCCTTTTCCCCCTTCTTATCATCTTCAAATCTGCGCTTCCCCTTTCCATTGTCCTCGTAAACCCTAGTTCTCTTATCGCTTCTCTCCTCGCTCTCCCCCTTCTCTTTCCTCTTTTTCCTCTCAACGGAAGGAGACCTCTCGCGCTCTCGGCGGACATATCGATCCTTGCTTCCCTCTCGTTCGGCTCTGGAATCCGACCGACGGCGATGATGGAGGTCGTCAGATCTGCGGCGGTCTTCGTCATGCTTGGAGCGGTTATGTTGGTCTTTAGGCATCTCTCTATCGCGATGTGAGTCGGGATCTCTACGTTTACGGCTCGAGCTCTCCTTGTCCATGGCTCGGACAGGGTTGCTATTTTCTTAAAAGCTGATTCGTATTTTAAGAGATGACCCTGCATCAAAACTAACAAATCGTTTTGTTCGCGATTGAAAATGAGTTTTTATTTATTTAATTTATATAATTTATTGGCTAAAATGATTTAAAATTAAAAAAAAATTAATCTACATTTATATTTAATACATGTAAATAGTGCCTATTTTAAATTAATCTATATCTATATATATATATAATTATAGACAAATTATTGATTACAATACTTTTTTTTTTGTACACGAACCTTCCGATTTCCGGATCCACAGGGGAACCGACTAATCTGGAATCGAGCCGGGTAGGACCACAAGGGCGGCAAAGCTCTCCCTCAAGAGTTTTAACACTGCTACATTCTCAGCAACACGAGACCACTGGTTAAGCTGGAAGAGACCCAAGTCATCTCATCCAAGCGCTCTTGGGTATTACAATACTTTTAGTAGTAGGAGTAGTGGTATTAGTGGTAGTACTAGCAATGATCAGTAGTGAAAGCGGTAGTGGTAGTGGTATGATAAGAGTAGTGGCAGACGATGGTGGAAGCAACAGCAACAACAGTAGCAGTAGCAAGTGGCAACATCATCATAGTCGACAGCGGCAATAGCAATAATAATTGTTCTAGTAATTTATTTCATAAATACAGTGATTTAGATGTAAGTTATGCAAATTATATTTATATATTTCATTCGCATTTATTAACTGTTAATTTTAAAATGTGATACTCTCATTATATAAATCATAACTTTAATATATTAACATACATATAATGTACAATATTTTATTTACTTAAAGTAGTATGTATCTTTTTTTTTCAAACGATCGAAAATTGTATTACCACGAGATGAACCAAAAACAAGTACACCTTCCTTTGGGACTACATAGGTAACCAACGAGACTATACAACAAAACACACAAACAAACACACAAACAAATACACAAATGAGATAACGCAACACTCGGAATGTAGAACAAACACTCCCACAAAAGAAGACTAACAACAAACGACAAAAAATGGGACGCCAAAAATTAAAACACCAAACAAAAAACTATAAATAATAAAGTATGTCCTATTTCTCGCGAGTCAACGAAAATATTCACATGGCCAAACACACTAACCGGTCCCCAAAAGTAAAAAACACAATGAGAACTTTCCATCTAAAACCCTCAGTCTGAAAACTCTGATCTCGACTTATACGGCTAGCTAGATATGACGAGGAGAAGAAACTGGGTCTGTACATGAGCCGACAAGAAGCTTCAAGTCTGGAGAGAGACCAAAATCGAGTTAGTCATCCCGTGGCCATCGCCAGCCTGAGCCCATCACTGCCGTCGAAGGTCTTTAACACCGGCCAAAAGGGAAAAGGGGAGGAGAAGGCCACCCGTGTGTGTAGTCTTTGACCCAATTGTGTAGTTTTTCGCTAAACACTTTAGCTACTAACAAAAAATATTCTATAGATTTTTTATTTTTTATTTTTTTTTATATACATATATATTTTTTTGGCATTGCATATATTATCGGAAATAACTTCTTTAAAAGCATAAGTTTTATAAAATGCATAAAGTAAGAAATAATTTATTTGTCTTTTAGATATATAATCTACTATCTTAATATATTTTTATTATTATAAACATTTGTTATATGAAGTATTTTCAAAAAATAATTATGTTTAAGAAAAAATAAGGATTTTTTTTTGGATTAATAGTTATTTATTCAATATATTACTGGTTGAACCAAGATTTAATTTATTAATATTAATTCATATTCATTTTATTTAAATATGTATTTTTATTCATATTAAAATAATTTTAAGTGTTACTAAATTTATTTAAAAATCGTACAAATCATACTTGTTCGTTGAAATGGTGTTATTCAGTTCACAAGTAAATAATCTATTCCACAGTTCGCGGTCACCCAATCCTGCCTTTAAAAACAACTAGTTTTAACTCGTGCATTTACACGGAAACCTATATGATGGAGGAATAATAATAATATATATAAATTATAGTAAGAATTTAAATATTATTACACACTTACTTATATACAACGTTCTAATTTATCAGCAGAATCTCCATCACTACAAAACATTATATTCAAACCTCAGACTCTAACTCTAGAAAGAGTCGCGTACAATTGCTCATGACTAACATGGCCCTTCAGTCGTAGGCCGACGTACTATAGAGACTGTCCGTGACCCTTACTGATTGTCATAACATAGGAAACAATGAGAGGAAACTGGTTGCGCTGAAACTTGAGAGGTATTGTATGATTGTGAGCCTAGAAATAAAATCTTTCTTATCACCAGCTCTAGCACCCGTTAAAATTCTAAATTCGAGAACATGACTGATGAGCTTAGTAATAACCAATCGTGTACATATTGACAACAAAATTCGAACAAAAACTTAATCACCACATACACAACCGTTTTACATAAACAGTAAGACAAAACATTGAGAAATACTTGGATTATTGAATTATTATACCAGTGGAAGTTATATAAAATTAAGGACTTCAATTCCATTGTTTGAAATCGCTGGTACACAGAGACACAGTACAGTTGTCTGCACAACAGAAGAAAACCAGTCGACTAGGGCGAGGCTCTGCGTTGTTGAGGGGAAGAGCGTGGCGTTCGAGTTAATGAACTACGAAAATGCCATTTATCTCGAAGATACAGCGGCAGACAGATTACAGTAGTTTCCCGTCATCTCATCCAATTGTAATCGACAATGGTGGCTCCTACTTCCGCATTGGGTAACCCTTAATAAAACCCTAATTTTCTGCGCTTATATGTTGGAAATCTTTTTCACCTACGAAGTTTGATACATTTTATTATTTCTGGGACATGATTTCATAGCTGTCGTGCAGATGGGCTGGGGAAAACGAACCTCGAGTTGTGTTCCGGAACATTATTCAGAGACCTCGTCATAAGATTACTGGTAAATTCAGCCTACAATCGTGATCCTTTGATATATGTATGGCATACATGAAGTAGCCATTTGTGATTGTTTAGCTTCGGTTTTGTTTTGAATCCTCTGCACTTTTCTCGATGATAAGTGGTTGACATTAGTCTTCTGATATGCTTAATAGTGTCTGTTTGATGAATGGAACTCATTTTTTCTGTGGTCCCTTCCACCACTCCTGTTTTGCGTACTCAAATCATCTACTAAATTGCAATGTTACTTCTGCGTGACCTTTGTGTTTCAACATGCCAATATTTATCAGTGGAATTGACCTCTGACTTGTTGCCGACCCATTATAGGAGCACGGAAGAATTGTAAGTATGATGCATAAGATTTTGCAGGACTAGTCTGATTAAACTTGATTGTAATAGCACCGTTCTAAAAGAGCAATCCTGGCCATTGGAGTTGATCAATCGATGCCAATTTGGACTATTGTCATACTTGTCCTGCCATGTCAGCAGAGGTTCTTTTTAGTTTTTTAGTAAGTTTGGCTGGAATGATAATTTCTCGGAGTGAGAAACATTTGAATTTTGGTGTATACGGTAAATTAAAGTAATATTCTATTTGATTTTAGTCATATGTGAAAACATAAGTCAGTAGGTTATGGTTTTTGAGTCATAATTATTAAGATAATGATGATTAGAGCCAGTACACTGCTGAAGTTAAGTCTTCTCTAGTAGTTCTTGATTATTGAAAGTTTTAGTGATAAGTATGAGGAATTTTCTAACAAGCGTTATATAAAAGCTTACACTTATGATGGCTATGGACTATTTACAACAACAACAACAACAACAACATACCCAGTATGTTAGTTGTACGCAGACCTTGCCCTTGTAATTATACACGAAGGCTGTTTCCGTAGCAACCCAAGGTGCAGTGCGTCGTTTGATATATTTTTTTCTAGAAACTTCACTAATAGAAGAAGCACTAGAATCTAATTGATCAATTTTGATCTAGTTCATTATTAACACTATAGGAGAATTGTCAACAATGACTCTTCCAGCTCCATTTGCAATGGACATGGCTATGGACTATTTATTGAAAGAATTATTGGTCCCGGATTAAAATGGTGAAATATTTCATGTTTTGCAAATTATATTCGCTTGTGAATTTTTGGGCGCTTAAATGTCTTATCTGCATTTGATTAGAAGTTCAGTGGAAGTTCTACATATTCGAGAATACTTTCCAATGGTCTAATACCTTATTTGCTTTAAGTTTGATGGAGCTATCGTTTTTGAGCTATCTTTTCGTAGTCAACTCACAAGATGTCATTGAGCGCGAGGAATGAAGAAACCATGCACAATTAGTCATAGTTGAACCATATCATCCGTGTTTCTTTCTCACCTTTTTTTTCTCTTCTTCTTCCTTTTCTCCTTTGTGACAATGGAGCATTACCATCATATTGCTATTATTACTTTTGCACTCACTTCTGCGCAAGAAAATTTTGACAACTAAGATGTGTTGGGTTCGATATACCCGTACGGAACAAATAATGCAGCGGAATTTAAAAATTTTATAAGTATTTATCTCATAAATACTTATTCCGTACATAAGTATAACGATAGAACGAATAAGCATCATTTAAAATCTAGTAACTTTTACTAATTTTGATTTGAAATATAATTTTAAATCTAAAATTACCGTTGATCTTGAACTCCTTCAAAATCGAAGATAGATTGAGGGAATCGATTCCCGGATTGGTAACGTCACTTCACTTCTTTCTTGTGCTTGTGGTTACTCGCTTAGGAATCCACTTGTCTTCCCTCTAAACGTATCCACCTTTTGAAGTCGGGTTCCGATAGCCTCTTTCTTCGCTAGTAGAAAAGTATCGGTTTTCAATAGTATAGAATATATATATTTTATAAGGAAATATTTGAGAAATTATTCAACACTTGAATAAATCTTTTTCTCAAGATTAAGTTCAAAGCAAGAACTTTTTCTTGTTTAAGAGAATTAATTCAACTCTTGAATTTATTTTACAAAACTCTTTTGTAAAATTTTCTCAAGAACTTAAATTCTAAATTCAAGAACTCTTTCTTGATTTAGATTATGAAGAACACTTTCTTCTTTTCTCTTTTTCAACACTTGAAAATTTTGGAAGAAAACTTAGCAAATGACTTAGCCTATTTGTGTAAACTCTTTACACATATTTATACTAAACTTTTTAGTATAAAATAATCAATAATTAGTAATATTTAAATAAAATCAGATTTTATTTAAATATGATTTACTAACTATTGACTTTTATATAATAAACAATGTAGAGTGGTTCCCTAACCTCTCTTAACCACCATTTATTATATTCACAATTATTTTTAATCTTTAATCATATTAAAGATAAAATAATAAAACATTAAAATAATAAATCTTGAAATCATTTTTCAAGACTTTATTATTTTAATCATTTCTTCCATTTTCCTTATTTAATAATCATATTATTATTTGGATTTGAAATTTAAAATCCAATTTTAAATTTCAACTATTAATTAGTAATTACATTAATTACTTAATTAATATCCAAAATTCAATTAATCAATTCAATTGATTAATTTAATATATTCTATAAATTGACATCTAATCAAATTAGATTAGTCAATTAATTCTAACTCTTTAGAATTACTATTTGAATTTTTACCTTCATTCAAAAATTGGTGTGACCTTTTAGGTTCACAATTAATACTAGTAGTGGGTTTACAACTCTTTGTAATTTGAGTTAATCTTTATTAACTCTTATTCATGAATTAACTCCTTAATTCATGAACCCACATATCATGGGAACACCTAGCAAGTAGCATGAATCTAGTATTAAGTGAATAGCGAGTAAACCTATTTCAATTACAATTACATACATGTAAAATCCTTTCGACATCCAATTTCCCGATTAAATCTTGGGTATGATTTTAGTCGAAACCCAAATTGATTTAATAACTATGATTCTATTTCATGTTTAGTAATTCGTGTATGAATCTCCATTCATCCCGCCTTGGCCAAGGACTTTGAATTACTAACTATGAAACACATAGGAAATTCACTTATCTTCATAAGTGTCGAATCCTTTGTTGGCCACTAACAAACTTCCATACATATTAACATAATACCCAAAATATCCCTTTATACGATTGTGCTAGCAACCAAAAGGATAATCAAAGTAGAATGTAATATGCACAAAGTTACTATTGTGCCTCAAGTCTAAGGACCAATCATGTACTATTGTAACATGAAAATACTTATTCGACAAGACAAATCTTTCATTAAGTATTTTCATACGGTCATGTTCAGTGAACTTGTTCTCTAACAAGCACTCACATATATGTACTTGCGTCCCACGCTAATGTTGATGGAATGCAACATTCTTGTCCAACAAACATACATACTATGTGCAATTCTTTTATGGATTATTCGATATCCCATCTCGAAACATCCATCGAATTGGAACTTTATTTAAGATCACGGGTTTCAAGATATGTTCCATGATTACCATCTCTATGCGCAACCATATCTTATAACCATAAGTGATCTAGGGATTTTATCTTAAGTGCAATTATATGATAAATGCTTACTTTTAAGATAAAATAATGCCTTTTAATTAATATAATTCCAATAGATTGTATTTTCAAGTAGAATACGTCCAATCTGATTGGAATGCCGGGTATACTACTCTAACAAGATGTTCTTTCTAGCCGAGGTATTGAGTTGATAATATTTGATATAAATTGACCATGAATATGCAACTCTGTGGTACTGACGTAAGAGTTAGGGTTCAACTAAACTATTTGTTTTAGATATGGAGCTAATAGGAGGTTGAATCATTCCAGACCATACTGGGTTTACTGTTTTGTGGGTAGAACATCCGTACTTGTACTTTAAGGTGGTCAAAGTTGTCATTATATTTTATTTTTCATCGTTTATATTAAACGTTGGAAATTTGATATTGGAAAAAAAGCTAGACAAATATATGTCTTGTTATCCTCCTCCAGCACGTTGATTGAGCACAAAGTTGCACTGACATCGTTTTCATACCATTTGCATGAGTTTTGAACAGGGAATGACTAGCCAATTTCTGCTAAAATTTTGTTTTTATACAGGTGAAACAGTAACGGTTGTAGGGGACCATAATCCTGCTTTACTGAAATACTTCGATTGCACTAGGTCGGGACCTCGCTCTGCTTTCGACGGCAATGTTGTCTATCAGTTTGAAATAATGGAATATGTAAGGATGACTCGCATATTCCAATTATGTATTTCTTTATTTTTCTTTGTCTTTATTAGTATTTATGTCATTGTTCTATTCTGCCTTTCAAACCTACTATAAATTTCATTGTCTTCTTTGGGACAATTGTATGATTTCATGTGATTATGTTCTTGAAATTTTCCTTCGTTTTGCTTCATATCATTGAAATCTTCCGTACAATGCATTTGAATCATCACATTTGGTTGTGTACAAATGCTTTGCATCATATTTAAGGAGCATCAAGATTAGCAAGTCCTTTTTATCTTCAGTTCCCTCTAGCCCAATTACGCAGTGCATAGTTCTCGAACAAAAGAAAACTCAAAACTGCCAAGCTAAATGGGAAAATAGACCAACAATCAATTTTTTTTTTCCCTATTTCCGTGAAATATTTTATACTTCTGTTGTTCGTGTGACCACCTATTTCCCAATGTTGCTCTTACCAGCAATAAAGTGTACTACTCCCTCGTTTACAAATATGATCTAAAGAAATGACTGGCATGATTGTAGTTCGCAATAGTTCATTATAGGTGTCTTCTAGGCCCGTTCAATCTTTGCAGTATATTTGTGTACCGTTAATTTGACACAGCCTAAAATTGGCATATGTTTCATGTTTTCCTAATTTGAGTTCAGCTTACATTTTTTTTTTTTGTAAATTTTGATCTGTAGCATTATTTTCTGGCTTTAAAATTAAACTGCTACCCTGAATTCAGTTTGTTTGTTTTGCTTACTTTTTCTTTTTGATGCACAATTAGATTCTTGACTTCGGGTTTGATCGATTGGGTGCGGATCAGTCACAGGTACATCTTCATCTTCATATGACATCATATGACATCTAGTTGTTGATTGTGCAAAAAGATAAAGGCAAGGGTTGGGGATTATGATTGGAAGCATAGTTTTAAATGGCGAATGGCGAGGCGAGGCGAGGCGATTGGCCCTTTGCCTCGCCACGAGGCGAGGCGAATCGCCATGGCGAGGCCTCGGCAACACTATATATATAAATATATAATATATATACACACACACACACACATTTACACACACACATTTAAGTTCAAGTACCAACAATAACCTTAAATATTCTAAAATAGATAATATATATTAAATTTAGTTGTAATTACTAAAAGCATCTAAAACTTAAATGTGAATGCTAGTAACATTACAAAGCAAAAATATTGAATTTACACTGTGTAGTAAACATAAAATAGAAAAAAAGTTAAAGAAGGCAAATAAAAAGTGTAAAATAAAAGTAAATGAAAGAAAAGATGCTGCACCCTTTCACCTTGGACTATTGATCATACTAGTAAACATAAATATAGTAAAAAATGAAGAGAGAAGAAAAAGAGACGGGCAAAAACGGGAACAGGAAAAAGAGAAAGGGAAAAGGAAAAGAAATGAAAAGGCATGCATCACCGTCCGTCTTGGCGGTGCGAGATGGTGGCCGGAGTTCAGAGGAGGCCGGAAATAGGATGAGTCGGCCATGGGTTTATGCAATTTTCAAATCCGAGAAGCCTAGGGAGTTCTTTCGTAGAAGTCCTAGTTTGGGGAGAAGCTACATAGAGATTTTTCACTGAAGTATTTTTGCTTTCGATCTGTTTTAATTTTATTCTTTTTCCAAAAAGTGTCGCTTTTTTTTTTCTTTTTTCTTTTTTTTTATGGACTGCCGCTTTAATTCCTCTGAAAGGCGCGGAGGCGCGCCTCACAGGCGCCTCTCGCCACGCGAAAAGGCGAGCCGAGGCGACCTGAAGCGAGCGCCTCTCGAACAGGGTCGCCTCAGGCAGTGGCGAGGCGAAGTGGCCCTCGCCTCGGTCGCCTCGCCTCGAGGCGTCGCCATTTTAAACTATGATTGGAAGGGGAATTTGTGTTGAGGGGTGGACTTGTGTTTGATTGATTGTAGTTGCTTTCTATCAGTTCCATCTAGCTAGATCTCAATTCTAAATGTGAATGATTCACTGTTCAATTTGACATTGAGAATCTAAATATTGTTGCATTAGTGTATTGACTATGATTGTATTTTGTTAACAATCAAGCATCTGCATCCCACATTTGGGTTGCCAAGCTGTCATGCTTTTATAGTTTCTCAGTATGTGCATCTGTTATGGTGTTGCTGAATGTTTGATAGCCACCCCTGGTATATGTTTTGATGTTAATCAGTGTTCGGCACATGGCGTTTTGCCAAAATTCCGCGGTCTATGGCGCCGCCATGACCGCCATCATTCACAAATTTTGCATGAATCCGCCACGCCATACCGCCATGGCGCCGCCATGGCCACCATTTGATAACACTGATGTTAATTATGTCAAATTTCAGATATTCCTAACCTACATGCCATTCAGTGATAAACTGCATTAGAGTTTTCTTGGAAAACCATCTTATTTGAGTTTTTCAATGTGTAAATTAGAAGTATTCATCCAGTACTATCGTCCGAGTATGCTTCAAGTGGTAAAAGACGAAAAGCAAAAACTAATTTGAAGTTTTGCACACCGTGTCGTGCTTGTTTGTTTATTAATAGCAAATCTTTGAAATTTTAATCCTCAGAATTGTGCATTATCTTTTATTGCCTAAGAATTTTCCTTTTTCTTTGTTTTATTTCCCTCAATTGGTGGAACGGTGGGAGAACAGATTAACCATCCTGTCTTGATTACTGAATGTGCTTGCAACCCTGTCCAGTCTCGCAGTAAAATGGCTGAACTTCTTTTCGAGTCTTATGGGGTTCCATCAGTAGGTAAAAAGTTGTTGCAGTGGTTTAGATTTTGGAGGAATATTTCTCTGAATCTATGATTGAATCTGCTGTTGTCTTCTGGTTGAAACTATGATAATCTGCTTTTTTCGTCTAGTTATTTCCGTCTTCTAGCTATTGGTTTCTCTTAAATAAGAAAAATACTGTTCCTCCTACTTAATTCCACGAGTTGTATCAATTGTTGTTGAAGTCTGGACCTTTATTTGTAATCTACTGCAGAACTACTAATTCTCTATTTCACTGCAGCATTTGGCGTTGATGCGGCATTTAGCTACAAGTACAATCAACAATTTGGCATTTGTAGTAATGATGGTCTCGCAATCTGTTCTGGATTCAATACAAGTCATGTTATTCCGGTATGCTATGTTAAATCTGGCTGCGCACTAAATAAATGTTAAATAGATTTGTGGATTTAGAAAGACCCTTGATTAAAACATATGGCGGAACGATTTGGTAATCACCTATAGACCATGTAGATAATTGCCTTCCTAAAAAGATGGTTATAGTCAGATAAATATGTTTCTTTTTTTTTTCCTCCACCATGTTTGGATGTTTGGAAAACTATATCTAGTCCCAGGGCTCTGGAGAATATTTAAGGAAGTTAATTCATAAGAGGTTATGTCGTGAGAACTAAAACTATTTATATGGGGTAATGGAAAATAAGTAGACTGCATCAAGTTTCTAGATTGTGATAATATAATTATAAAATCAGATATATGTAATAAAATGCAGGTTTTAATGATGTAATATACTTCTGCACCAGTTGGAGCCAACTCTCTCATATTTATTGCTGGATGAATTTTTTGTTCAAAAGTAAGAAACCACGGAAATAGCTGAACCAAAAATGGTTCAAGCAATTCCTTTTTTTGGGGCTTTGTCAACACTTCTCTTGTAACCAACCCAAACGTAGTCTGTGAATGCCTAGAGAATGCTTGAGAGGAACAGACGGGAAAGATTATTAGACGAAACCAACTTATCTTGAACCTTGTGTTCTCTAGGATGTGATTTCACTGACCTCCATTGCTCCAAGTTTGTCTGGTCAAACCTTTTGGGCTAAAAATAATTATTCCACTCCGATATCTTCATATGTTGAACTTAACATGTCAAATCCTTGTGGTAGAACAATAATGTCTTTATTGCCTACTCCTTACTCCTTGTGTACCCTGCCAACTAGGCAACTCCCTGCTCCTCACCCTATCCCACTCCACCCAGAAGACCTGCTTCCCTTCCAGGTGCTTTCTTGCAATGTCACACATCCCTGCACAATGGCTCCTGACTCAAGTAAAAAATAGCCGAACTTTGTTGAAATTAGTGAATATTTTAGAGGCAATCATAGGATTTGTACCAAAACGACTTTTACTTGGTGTACTATGACTAACAGGGATCCACATTTGTGTCTGGTATAATCTGTTTTAATGACATTTTCTTAATAATTATTGAAGTTATGCTACTGACTTGGTGGTTTTGACCTTCTGTAATGTTAGTTTTTGAATGGCGAACCTGTCTATGAAGCATGTTGCCGGAGTAATATTGGTGGTTATCACGTCACTGATTATTTGAAGCAACTTCTTTCACTTAAGTACCCGCATCATATGTAAGGAGGCTGAACCCTTGTATGAACAAACAGAAAATATTCGATTGAATGTGAATTGCATTAATTAGCTCCCAAATAGGTCTCAGCTTACATGGGAGAAAGTTGAAGACCTGAAGATGGAACACTGTTATATTGCACCAGATTACGCATCAGAAGTTCGATTATTTCAGGTCTTTTTATTGTAGTTAAGCTACTTAATGCTATTTTCCCCTCCCATCTATCCTGTTCCTGCCAAACCAAGAAAATAATAATCACGTACTCTTTTGTCTTAAGAGAGGGGACAAGAAAGCTGAAGAGAAAACCAGGTGTTGGCAGCTTCCTTGGACCCCCGCACCAGTTGAGGAGGCCCCATCCGAGGAAGAAGTTGCTAGAAAGGCTGCTCTAAAAGAGAAGCAAGGTCAAAGATTAAGGGAGATGGCTGAAGCAAAGAGATTCAATAGAATTAATGATCTTGAAAATGAAATAAGAGACTTGGACATGTTGTTGCAGAGGCTCAGTGATGTAGCCGATAGTGATATTCCTTCAATCCTTGGAAGTACTACTTTTACTTCAAAGCAGGACGCGGAAGCGGCCCTTGTGAAGGCAAGGCAATCTTTAAGGAAAGCAAAGGGAGAACCTGTTGAAAGTATTGAGAAGATGGATGCTGCTTCTACTGATAGATATAATCTAATTAATGTACCTGATGAGATGCTCACCCAGGAACAGGTTTGTGGGTTTATTCGGTTGCTATTAAGTTCATAAACTTGCATAGATTTATGCGTTTCTTGGCTCAATTTATTAGGAAATGAGTGTTCTAGTTTAATGAAGGTTGGTAATGCCGTTTCTGTGATTGACGTCCACTCTGAAGCCCCCCTCTTTTGACAGCTGAAGCAAAAGAGAAAACAGGTGTTTATTAAATCAACGTCCGAGGCACGACAGCAAAAGAAACAGAGGCAGGTAGAGGAGGAACAAGAAAGAGAACGGCAAAAGCAGCTAGAGGAAGAAAGACGCCTGTATGTCGCTAAGCTTTACGGTTTTTGTAATGGATTGCATGTTAATATTCTGCCGACATTGTAGAGAATCGAGTTCGAGTGTTTGTAGAGCATTCTCAGTCTTCATTTAATAATTTTTATTTTTGGCTGCCTAGTTTCTTTCACTTATGTGCTGTGTTTTGGTATTCCATGACAATAGAGAGAACCCAGAGCGCTATTTGGAAGAGTTACGAGCAAAGCACAGAGATCTTTTGGAGAAAGTCGAGCAGCGAAATAGATTAAAGACAAATGGTGGACAGCATAATAATGGTAATGGGAATAACAATAATAATGCATCGGGAGGGGTCGGTCGTGGGGAGAGGTTGAGTTCCTCTCACAGAGAGAGGATGCGCCTTTTAACTACAGCAGCTTTTGACCGGGGAAAGGGAGAGGATACTTTTGGTACCAAAGATGAAGATTGGCAGCTCTACAAGCTGATGAGTCGAGATAATGATGATGATGACGATGATAAGCCTGATCCGGATGAAGTCGAGTTAGCTCGTGTCTCCTCTAGACTCCAGGTGGGGGTTTATTACAATCTGTCACCTTCCAAAATAAAATTTGCTTCATTCTATCATCAGATTCTTGTAAAAACCAAGAAGACTTAATTGCATTTTCTTTTTTCATTCTTACCTTTGGTTGTGAATTTTGGATAACTATTAATGATAAGGTGCAATTATGATAGTAGAGGGTAAACTAGTTATTAGTTATGCATAAATACATTGATTAATGACTTTCTCAATCTCTGTGAAAAAACCTAACAAGATGGATGGAGTGAAAGTGAGGGGCTACTGGGTTATGTCAAAATTTAATTTTGAGATCTATGACTTTTCCGCTGCAGGAAATCGACCCGACCTTCATCTTCAAATCTGAGGTTGGATCCTCGTCTGCGGAGGCGCCCCGTTTTCGTCCACTGACCAAAGAAGATTTCCAAATTATACTCGGTGTAGAAAGGTTCCGGTGCCCGGAAATTCTGTTCAATCCCAACTTGGTCGGAATCGATCAGGCGGGGTTAGATGAGATGGCTGGCATCTCGATCAGGAGGTTGGGCTCGAAAGGCTGCAGCCAAGAAGACAGACTAACCGAATCAATCTTGCTGACAGGTGGCAGCTGTCTCTTTCCTGGCCTGAGCGAGCGTTTAGAAGCAGGAGTTCGAATGCTGCAGCCGTGCGGGACCCCCATAAGAATCCTCAGAGCATCAGACCCAATACTCGATGCTTGGCGTGGGGCTTCTGCTTATGCTGCTGCTGTTCAGTTCTCACAGCAAACATTCACGAGATTGGATTATTTCGAGAAGGGCGAGGATTGGCTTAGGAATTATCGGCTGAGGTACACGTTGTGATGATAAATTGTCAATGGAGGATTTTGCCAACTTAAGGCAATGAACAAACTCTGCTCATTAGTATGCTGATGTACGTCACTTTTTAAGGTTGCTTTAATTTCTGTATTATTTGCCTTCATGGTGAGATCAGCATTACTCAGGATGACAATCAACTAAATTTTGTATCATGTTGATGTGGTGATAAATTGTCTATGAGGTCTTTTGACTTACAAGAAACATTGCCGGACAAAAAGATTATTAAATATTTCAAATCAACGGTTTTTTTTTTTTTTCTTTTTTTTCTTTTTACACTTTTCAGCAATTATTGGGATTATAATTGTGTATAATTATGGGAAGTTCAATTGCAAAATATATGGTCTTAGACTTTTACCCACTGTACTAAAAATTGGCTTAGACGCTGCCTAACTGCCACCTATTTGTATGAAACGGCTGAAAACATTAGCTAGGCGGCGTCTAGGCGCTCTAGTCGGGCTCGGCGGTTGGGTGGCGCCTAGGTGGGCTTGTCGGCATTTTTTTTAGTTTTTTTTTTTTATTTTAAATCTTAATTATATTTTTTATTTTTTTTTTATTATATTTTTTAATATTATATTAATATTATCATCTGGATTTAAGTGTGAATTTATTATAAGTTGAAATAATTTTATTTTATAGGTAGTTATTATAAAAAATAAAATATTTAATTTTAGTTTTCACCGGCGCTAAATGCTGGTCAAGCACACACTGAGAACACTGCTTTTACAATAATGGATCAAACATGTCTTAAAGCATGACTTCAACTTTGTTTTAGTTAATAAACAACACACATTGTATACACTCGTGTTCATTTCCAGAAAAAGTACCCTTTAGTAACCACCTTAAGATAATTGAATGTGCAAACATCAATTCCACAAGACGCCATACAATGGAGAGCATCCCAGATTTGTCCTCAGGGAAGTTCCAATTACAAAGCACCTAAACACAAATTACAAGAGTTGTAAACGCAACTATTACTAGTTCAGAAAGAATAACAATCACATGCCACAGGCAAACAAACCTAAAACTACAAACATTTGAAGCGGTTTCAAACACTCCAACTGCATTCCAATTTCCATACAAAATAACAACACAACTAAGAAAGACTCTCATCTTCAAGTACAACAATCGAGCAGTCCCAGGAAGTGGACAGCCAAAAATTGAACTGTTTTTTCTGCAGCTGTCACTCAGCATTTTCATTTACTCGCCGTGCACCATCTGGATTCCTGTTCGCCACATGCTTTTTATGTTTCTTGCTCTTTGCCTTTTTGGCCTTCATCCTGCGTTTTTTCTCGTTAGCATCAACCCATGCATAGTCGGATGGTATGTGGAAAGGGTCGGGTTCATCACGGAAGCTGCGGCTCTCACTATCACTGGACTGGGCCCCACGGCTTCCTCTCATCCATGAAATCCACGACGTGGAAGAACCCTCGGACTCCTTGGCCTTGGGATCTTGGAAATGTGCAGGGCTAGAGAGGGGAGTTGAGAACTCCTCTGCTGGTTGAAGTTCTTCAAATTTTGTGAATGTCACCAAAACACGTATTGTTGGGACAATTGGGATGGCAATCTGTACAGTGGGTACGTCAGTCAAAGCATCTAAGATGATGGCAATGAATAGCCTAATCTTTGCAAACAAAATAATAAGCTACTTATACAAGAGGAAATGAGTTTATAGCAGGAAAAAAAAAACATGGTATTTTTAAGCAAGAGGCATGCAGAACTTTATATACATTTCCAGATAATGCAACCACAAAATTCTAAACCAATTAGCAAAGGCTGGAGTGTTCAGGATACCTGAGCAATACAGTTATTGGCATACAAGGATTGTATATTTAAAATAAGTTATATGAAGGTCCAAATTCAACAAATATCAAGGATTACTTGAAACCAAAATAATATTGCACTCAAATAAATTCTGAAATGCAATAACTCCGCCTTATAACCTACAAGGCAAAGACACGCACAGTAATCACCCTTATAATTTCCAAGGATCATTAGTGCGAAGAAATGCTGGTGTTATCTCCAATAGTGTGAAGAAATAAATATGACAAAACTTGATGCATCTGAAGACTCGAAGTGAACATTTCGGTTGATGCAGCAGAGAGGAGTTAAAAAGAGGAAAAAGAAAAGGCCAACTTGCTATGTCTATCTCCGGTTATTTAAATCTAATTTGCAGTTCAATCTCCACCAAATTTCTCATTCCTCTTTCCTTCTCTCTTCACCCCAAAATTCTTTAGCATTGTAACTATTTTACAACTAAAACTTATTAAGTGTTAACTATGCAGGTGATTTTGAACAAACATAGACGATCTATGCACAAAGTTGCCTGAGAGAGACTAAATGCAAATATAAGTCTCCCGTACGTTAGTTAGAAGTGGCAGTGGAGAAAATTCCGGATAAAGAGCAGATATCGCAAATACATGGATGGATAAATATATTATTATATGTATTGTTCTCCAATACACTCCAGTAAATAATTTTTTTTCAGAAGCATTCATCTCCCGGTCTACCTGCAAGTATGAATGTACAGAGAAGGTGCATAGATGAACAGACTTAAAGTTAAATTTAATATCGACGCTTCTGATCATTCTTTTGAAGAATTAATTTGTCTGGCTCTATTTGAACTATGATGTTCTCGTTGATCTTGCACAGGTGCCTCTGACAAAAAAACTAAGACCTTGGATCGGTTTGTTCGATTTTTTTGTCAGTGCATGGTGTGTTCCGGTCATGATTTGTACTAGGATAGAAAAGATGGTGACATGACACAAGTGCACAAAAAACAGCCATCCCTCATGTTGAATGCTAAAAGGAGAGGGAAAAAAAAAAAAAAATTCATGACCTGACAACAGAGAAAAGAACTTCATCAAAAGGTGCACATGTATCAGCAAGTACCTTAACAGGAAATGTGCCAGGTGGAAGCTTAGTAGTCAAAAGCTCCCTCAGCCTTCTAACCGCTTTGACCTTATTAGCCAGTATATCCAGCAAAGGCAAGAGTTCTTCAGTTCTCAGCGGAAAATCTGGAGTTAACCACAGCACAGGCCTCAAACCTTTCTTATACTCGCTTTCATTCTTTGACTCAACAGTGGCCACCTTCTTCTTTTTCTTTTTGCTACTTTTATCTTTTGACTTTTTAGGGTCCCCCAGATCCTCCCTCTGAAACTCCGATGATGACCTGCGAAGGTCGCCAGACTTCTGCTTGGCATCATCAGGTGCCAACTTTGAGAACTTCTTTAGAATTTTGGAGTCCTCCAGGTCATCTCCCATGCTCTTCGAACTCTTCTTGTTCCAATTAAACCAGCCTTTCTTCTCCTTGGTAGTGGCGTTCGATTCAGAGCTGTCAAATGAACCAGCATCAAGGTTTTCATGGCAATCCTGCACTTCACCATCCTCATCTTCCCCAAAACCATCTCCTATGCGCAATGCAGAATCCAACTGCTGTTTCTCTTCAGCTGTCAACAGATCATCGTAATCGTCGTTTTCACCCCCATTAGCTAATCTATCATCATCATTAACTGAAAAGAGCTCCTCATCGGTCATAGCACCAGGAACTCTCCTCGACTTCACGCTAACCTGGACATGAAGCATATCATATACCTTGGCCTTCCAAGCTCCAACCATCTCAGTCCTCTCCTGTCTTCTCCAATTCACATGGGGAACTAGCTCAGCCTGAGTAACATCAATTCCCGGTCTGTACATATTAGTCTGAGACATCAAAGCAACTTCGTGCGCTACCTCAGCCTCAGACGGCTGAACCCCTGCTCCTTCCAAGGCGTTGGTGATCTCTTTCTCCTTGTGGGCGAGCACAATGAGAGAGCCAGGAGGCAAGGATACATTTCCGTCTGACGAATGATAACCCTCTCCAAGGAAGAGAAAAGTCTGATCCGAGCGCTGAATACGAAACCCGTCAAAACCAGCTAGGGTCATATCCGCTCGCAGATTGGACCCACGTTTCCATATACGGTAAGTGTCTGAAGGGGCAATCCTGCCTATGAATGGTATGACCGAGCTCTCAAAGTGGAAAGTTATCTCCATGTAAAAATCCCGAATCCGGGAAGCTGATGCCACAATCCTAGGAAGCCTGCGGCACCACTTGGCCCAGGCAAGCGGCTGGTAGTGCCGGGCAATGATCATAGCAATATTCTCTTCTCTCGTACAAACTGCCTCCTGCAGCGCACTCCACCCATTCTCATTTTGAAGACTCCAATCTGCACCAGCTGCCATTAGAATCTCAGCTGAAGTCGCATCATGCAACCGAACTGCAAGGTGCAGAGGAGTTTCCCGCCCAGGGACATCCCGCCTGTCAATCACAGCAGACACGGCATCAGCATCTTCTTCGGCCGATATAGATTCAGTCTCAGTATTCACCTCTCCAGCCTTTGCCAGCCGAGGGAGTGCGCCCACTATCTTTCTCAGCGTTGCATAGTCACGTCTCAGCACGGCTATATGGGTGGGGCTATGTGCGTACTTCGAAAGATCCTCCATTGGCTTTCTTTCTGATTATTATCTGTCTTTTTTTTTTCACTACTCACTAAATCGAAAATACTAAATTGAAACCCTGACCACTCTTATTCTTTCACGAAACCCAAACCTCAAACTTCCCACCATTCCTCAAGATAAAAAAAGCGCCGCCAAAGACCACCCAAGCTTGAAGCTTTAGAAGATCCCGACTATATAAAAGTGAACATTAATATCGTCTCCACGAGGACCTCAACAATATTCCCCAAATTCGAAGCTCAATTTATCAACGCACGGAAGACCAGAAAACTTCGACCTTTAAGGGACATCACATCACCGAGAAAACAATTCTGGCGAAATAAACAATTACACACATTAACAAAATACAGAAAACCAGTAAAGCGCCCCGATCTACCATTCAAGCTCAAGATTTTAATCACCATAGAAACATAGCTCACCGGAAATCAACGGTAAATTGGGAACAGAAGCTTACCCGTCGACACGCCGGAGAAGAAAACACAGACGTGCGAAATTGAGGAAAACCGCCAAAAGGGAGAGTCGAAATCAGCCGAGATTCAGATCTATTTTCATCCCCCTTTTCTCTCTCTGTCCCTCCCTCTTTCCGTTAGACGCAGACTTTTCTTATGAGAGAGAAAAGGAGATAAGAGCGATGGTGAATTTTTGCCGAAATTATGTAGATGAGAAATGGCATCTGCAATCAACAAGCTCCTCTTGCTGCCTGCTAAAACTGTGAGCTGTCTCTGAAAACAGAAGTCGAACATTTGCCATCAGATTGGGAACATTTTGCAAAATTGCCATGCGCGTATGCGTAATCCAGTTGTACCCTGCTGCCGGGACCTACCGTACCCAAAGCTTACCCCACCAGACCACGAGCCACAAACCTGCTATTTGCTACGGTCCAACTGGCCAAATTATGAGTCTTCAAGTTGGCCCGGACCCAACTTGGCCCGTCCCTCCCCGGAGCTTTTGGGATGTCAGTGACCCGCCCCGTTGTCAAAACGGGCCATGCCGGTCTTCCCCACTTAATAAATGAGACAAGCCAGAGTCTTAGCCTTGTCTCAACCTGGCCTGACCTGACTGTTCACATACACATCAATACATACATCATTTATCTTTATATTTTATTTCATTTTAACTTCACAATTTTTTTTTTTTTGTTTGTTTTAATTTGAAATATACTAACTTTTACCATTTATAAATGTTCTATTTTTGTTATTGAATTTAATTTGCACTAATTTTAGTTTATTTTTTTTTTTTTTGGTACAGGGACCTTCCGATTTCCGAATCCACAGGGAAACCGACTAATCCAGAATCGAGCCGGGTAGGACCACAAGGGCGGCAAAGCTCTCCCTCAAGAGTTTTGACGCTGCTGCATTCCGCACTAATTTTAGTTTATGACTAATTTTATTGATGATTTATGTATGGCATCATTTTGAATGTCGAATTTTAATGAGTACAATCATACATTTACTACTGACTTCTTTCTCAAGACTTAAGACTATTTTGCCATTTTTGACATTTTTGTAAAAAATTGTATGATTGCAATCATTAATATACATGCACATCAACTACATTTCTAATAAAACTTAAAAAAAAAAATTATACTCAAAATTTCTTCACCCATTAAAATTGTTGACTTTTTACTCCAAATTTACACCCACTTAAGCAAAAATGCGGGAATATAACGACTAACAACTGAAAGAAAATATTTTCTCCCAACTCGAGATCCACATATGAAAAAGAAACATTTTCGTCATCAACCCATTTTGCCTTTCTCTTGTTCTGCACATCCGCCTTCACCCTTCGTGCCGCCTCATTCCAATCTCAATAGATAGTGTTCGTGCTTCCACAATTATACGATTCATTGTAAGATTTATTTTTGGCTATATGTTTCAAAATAATGTCTTAATTTTCTAGCAAATAAGAAAAATAAAAAGAAAGATTCTCTCTCTCTCTCTCTCATTTATTTAAGTTAGATAATATCTTGATGTTCTAGCAAGCATTCTAAGGACGATGCAGGAACACCGGTTGATTCCAACCGTCTATAGAAACATGATTGGTAGTCTCTTGTGCTTAACTGCTAGTTGGCCTGATTTATGCTTTCCTGTATGAATGTGTGTTCACTATCAAACCAATCCTAAGGAATCACATCTTAAGGCTGTGAAACATATAATCAAGTATGACAATGGCATTACTTACTTAGAGATCTTATACTCACACTACAAACGAGTGCTAGTCTTGCAGGTTACTGTGACGCCGATGGGCATGAAGCGTAGAGGATCGACGAAGTACGTCCGGAGAATTTCTTTACATAGGCAATAACTAGATTTCGTGGTTAAGAAAAAAAATTGTGTGGCGTTGTCTACAGCTGAGGCTGAATACATCTCCGCTGTAAGTTGTTGTTCCCAGCTCATGTGGATGAAACAGATGATGTTTGAATTTGGCTTTGATCGAAGAACCATGAACCTTTTTATGTGACAATACTAGTGCAATAAATATCTCTAAGAATTCAGTTCAACGCTCTCGAACAAACCACTGGATATTCGTTACCACTTTATTAGAAATCTGGTTGAGGATGAAGTGTTTATTCTTGAGTGCGTTCCAACACTGCACCAGTTGATTGGTATTTCTATCAAAGCACTGGATGCTAAAAGGATCATGTCTATAAGAAAATCATTAGGGATGTGCACCTTGTGATTGTTTGTGTGAAAGTGCATTACAGTATATTGTAATGTATACTGAGAACCGAACCGAACCGTCTCATATCGCACTGAACCAAAAAAATCGAAATTATATTATGAATTATAAAAATAGATATAATGAAGTGAATAAGATTCACCCGGGCTCCTTCAACTCGAACCGGCCTCCGTACCTGCAGAACCCAACGCCGGGTGGCCCCGGCGTCGGGCCTCCGATGCCTAAGTCAGTGCCCGGATCAAGAGAGAGATAAAGTGTAGTAATGTAATGTGTAGAGAGTAATAATGAGGTACCTTGGCCCCCCTTTTATAGGGGGAGTGTACCTTTGTGGGCTCAAGATGAGCTTGGCCCATAATGTTGGGCTTGGACGTCTTAGTGGGCTTATCTTC